ACGCAATGTCGTCTTCAAAGTAGATGACAGTTGCATCCGAATCATCGCCCATCGCGTCGGGCTCGTTCTTCGCCGCCACCTCCTCCTCCTCCGCCGCCTCCTCTGCCACTTCATCGCACTCTGCTATTGTTAAGACTGTAAGAAGTAGGTAAATATAAGAAGTAAAGTACAATATCAATGTTTTATTTTGCCGAAATCATCTGTTGTCACTAAAATTTTAAAATACTTACGTTGATCTATGTCAATTGCCTCGTCAAAGGTGTATGTTTTTTTTCCATTCTTATTATTATTTTGCATTTTTATTTTTTGCTTATTGTAACTTTAAAAACAAGCCACAAGCCGCGTTGATTTTACAAAACAAAAAAAATTTCCTTGCAGTTTTGACATTTGGATTCTTAAAAAGTTTTTATCAAGAGAGTATTGCATGCGGAAAACGGATGAGGTTCTTATCTCAATAAATTATTATCTATTATTGATATGTAAACTGCAATGGTATGACATTGACATTGTCATTTTAGTATTATTTAGTTTTCTATTGCAATTGAGTGCAATTTATATAAAATATATACAACCGAAAACTTAAGTGATAAACTATGTTGCTTTCTAAACCCATCATGGAGTTCATAACGACAAAAAGGGATCGCGAGAAACTACTATACGACGGCCGTCAGTACCATAAAATTAAAACTTATCTGAACGAAAATGTTTTTTGGAAATGCTACAATAAAACCGGTTGTAAAGGTAATGTGACATTAAGCAATGAAAACCATATAGTTAAAGAGGGCGTGCACGATATTGATTGTTTACCTAATAGTGCAAAATGTCTAATTTTGAAGAAAATGAAAGATTTGAAAACTAAAATAGTAGCTAATGTCGATCCAATACAAAAACAGTTTGAAGAAGCAGTATGCGAACTGGAAGACGATGGCGTGCACTTAGTTGCTGACTTACCAAAATTTGACAATATTAAAAGTGGTCTATACAAAGCAAGAAATAAGGCATTAGGAGTTTCTAAGCTCCATTTTGAATCACCAACTAAAGTAGAAATACCAAAAAAATATAAAAACTTCCTCCTGGCCGACTATAACGACAATGACACAAACACCAGGATTTTAATATTTTCTTCTTCTGATATAAAAACGTATTTGGACAATTTCGAACATTTCTTTCTGGATGGAACTTTTAAGTCTTGCCCTGAACCTTTCACACAAATATATACCATTCATGGACTACATAAAATAACAAAAAAAATTGTACCTTTATTCTTTGGTTTCATTCATAATAAAACTGAAAATACCTACAAACTTATATTTGAAATGATAAAGTCACAAATTCCTGAATGGAACCCCGTAAAATTGACACTGGATTACGAAATCTCAGCAATGAAAGCAATACGAAAAATTTTCCCGAATGCAGTAATGAAAGGATGTTATTATCATTTTTGTGCCAGCCTTTTTAAAAAGGCGAAACGATTAGGGATTAAATCTACAATACAAAGACGACATATTGCGAGATGTGCTGGCTTAGCCCGATTGCCATTGAGATATGTAATGGCAGGTTACAAGTATACAATGACCAAATCCCCGAAAACTGAAGCAGTGATAAAGTTCAACAATTACCTAAACCGTTACTGGTTCAGCGACGTAAATTTTATCAAGACTTGGTGCTGCTACGGCGAGGAAATTCGGACCACCAATAATCTAGAAGGCTGGCACGCAAGACTTAATAGAATGGTTGGACGCCAAAAACCGTCGCTAGCAACAATTCTGAATGTTCTTATTAAAGAAACAAAAATTTCAATGTCGTTCAAAACAAACAAAAACACATCGAACAAAAATTACCAAGAGATTGACCAAGAAATTGCGGATACTATACATCTTTTAACAAATAAGTCTATCACTGTTGGACATTGTTTAGAAATAATTGCCCCATTTAAATATTAAGTAAAAGTTAATTTACCTAAATTACATTTTGTGTTTGATTTAAGGTTAAAGGAAAAATATTAATGCTGACTGTAGCTAGTTATAAAAACATAATCATAATTATTCGTTTCTTAACTATTTGTGATTGTCAGTTATGAATGAACACTTCGTATTCTTGTTTAAAAACCAGTTGTGAAAACAATAATAAAAAAGGGTTTTTCTTAACCAGTTAAGAAAAGTTAGTTATGAAAGTGAACTAAAGGCAACAAACTATCCACGTAACATAAATAATACAGTTTACCACATCGTTCATTGTAAAACAATTAAATACCACTACGTATATACAATAATAACGCATATCACTCACAAAAATAACCTTTTTTATCCATGCA